TATATATATATATATATATATATATATATATATATATATATATATATATATGTATAAAAAAATAAATATATGAAGATCTCCGTCTATCAGATTTTCGGTGAAGATGCGGAGTGTTCAAGGTTTCCTGTTCAATTTCTTCTGCCTAAAAAGGTTAATGGGTAAAAAATAAATTACAAAATGTAAATTTTTTTTTTTATTTCTCTCAGATCTTAAACTTGTGTTCGCCATCCAGTTTGTGAGCCTTCTTTGACTACTGGTTAGAAACATTAAAAAGAGCAACACATGAAATATGCTGACTGGATTTCTTGTAAGGACCTTGGTGGATAAAAATCAATGGCTGCTGAGTTCACATCTGAGTCACAATGAGCTTTCAAACGTCTCATTTATTGTTGCAGTTACTTCACAAGTTCTCCAGCAGTGACTCATGGACCTCTGTGCTCTAAATCCACCACAGACTTTTTGCCATCCTTGGATCCAAAGATATGAAAAGCAATAAATTAAACTTTGGTGGAAAGGAGGAAGTTTTAGAAAGTTTAAGAAACAATGATTCCTCATCTCCAATAATACGTCTTAAAAATAAAGAGAGTAAAATGAATGCCACAATAACATCAATAACAAAGTTTTTCAGGTGAGTATATGTTTATATTTTTGTATAAATCTAAAAACATTTTTAATTAGAACTTCTGCATGATCCATTTCATGTCACCTGAACTCATACACCAAGCTAGTTCAGATAAAAAAGCTAATATCCACTCTGTGGGCAGAGACAGACCAAAGCATCATCACTTCATCTGGACTTGGATGCAAGGTTTCCAAAGCTGTGTGTTTCCATAGAAACCTTCAACAGACTGCAAACAGCACAGAAGGTTGAGCGGTGTTATTTCAACTCGCCCCCCTTTTCTTCACCGCCGCCGGTCAACACACACACGCACACACACACAGCACTCTGAAGCAGAAGGAGAAGATGCGAGAAGAGGAGAGGGCAGCGCCAGCAAGACGACAGAATCTCAAGATCTTGTGTCTCGTCGTAATAAAATATGCCCAAAAGCTAAAGTGGCAGGATGGAGTATGTATCAGGTTTGTGGTTCAAAGTGTTTCAATCAAGTCAGAGTCACTTCATAGTCTTCATTTGGGTATCCAGGCAACACTGAGACACCCAACTGTTTGATTTAAAATCTAAATCAAAAAGAGAATTGCTGACATGACAATAACTTATGAACACGTTTCTGTTTAGTTGGCCACAAATGTTTTGAACCATCTCTGATTTGCTTGATGTTCTTTAGATCTTTCAATTGATCTTGATACATTTCATCTTAGAATATATCAAGAGTTTTTCTTTGTACTTTGATTGCTTCAGCCTAGCAACCCCTTTCATAGTTTGTGTCTGTCTGTTATCCTTTGTTACACCTAATCGACATTTAGATTTACATTTTCTATCTCCAAACACTCATTGCCCTCCGACCCACTTCAGCTGCCTTGCTCGATTTGATCATTTAGACAAAATTATCAGTTGTCTTAGCCAACATAAAGTAAAGCAAACAGGCTTTCTCAAATTATGCAGCTAGCATCATACACGAAAAGATACAAATAAATAGTTGTTCATCTTTTTCAAACAAAAACATAAACATTTTATTGCTTAAAATGCAATAACATAGCATTCCATTAGAGCACGCGTGATCATTTGTAACAAAAGACACATCTGCTGCTAAAAATACTTGTAACATTGATTTAACACCAATACAGTGTAGGGCTGATCTGATGATTATTTTTTGGACTGACCAGTTAATATTTGCATAGCAAAAGGTGCTTAATAAGACATCTCTTTTCTTTTTTTACTGAATTTTAACCAGCCGAAACTAAAACTATGCCACTTGAGGAGTCTAGGGTAGAAGATATGTACAGACAAAGCTTTTTTTTTTTTTTTCATCTTAACTGCAAATATTTTTGCACAAGTTTGACTTTACTTCTCTGACTATGTTGGTCTTTTAGCAAAAGGCCTTTTAAGAGTCTGTATGGACAATTATTTCAATAATAGATTTAAAATTAATCGTTTCAGCTCTAGTTTCATGAGCCAAAGTGTATTTTTTTTTTACTGTTATCACACAAGACATCTGGAATATGGTTAGCATCAGTTCACACACAGTTAATGACCAGAATGACTAATATATGTTTAGAACAAGTGATGACAATAAGACAGTTCTGACAGGTTCAATGTTTATGTCATAATTCTCAATTTGAGAAGGATTTTATTATTTAAATTGATTACACATATTAAAATTGTTCTGAAACTTTAGTTATGTTTTTCTATTTTTTTTTTTATAGTGCATGGCCAAATTTAGGAGCAGGACTGAAAAACTGTAGGAAAAAAAAGAAAATACTCCAGATAGCCGGGAGCAAATCTTCCTGGCAATAACTTCATTTAAGACAACACACAAAAACATGGATTTTGTTCCAAATAATAAAACGTACCTTTTATCAAACAGACTACTTCTGTTTGCTCTGCTGCTATACAATACATGATAATTGTGTTTATTCACATTTCTGTATTTTAGTTTCAAATTAAACCCAGATCCTGTATGAATTTAGGTAACTATTAGCCATCTTATACAAAATAAAAATAAATGCAAGTTATCCAAATTACAATATTTTTTTTTTTCAATATTTAAGATAACACACACACCAACAGAACTTGATGCCGTTATTAGTGAACAGAACTCAGCAGCAGACATACTGTCAGTAAATTTCACGTCAACGTCTTTTTGCAATTGTGTGCAAAAAAAATAAATAAAAAGATGTTTCAGTGCAGGTCAAAGTTGACTTTTTGGATTATGTGACAAGGCTGGCGTCACAACAGGGAGCAGATGGTTATATTTGGGTTTGACAGTGATCTGTAGGGTTGTAGTGTAAGGATCTGACATCACCATACGGTGCAAATCAGAATCATCTGTTGGATCCTCCAACTGAGAGTCTTTTTGATCATCCTTGGTCGGCTTTGAAGGGTCTGCCGGATAAAGCTTGTCCCCTAGAAAGGAAGATGGGATAAATGTGAAAAGTTTATATTTTGTTGGAATTAATTTACAGGCAGCACTAAATTAATTATTATTGACTAGGCGATTGGTGAAATGTGTTGGATTAAACAATGCCCATTATGCCGAGTCAGTCAATTAATAACTTTCACATCTGCAATTGATTAAGACCTAAGAATGCAACTCAAATCTGAATAAAATGTTATTTGCAAAAAAGTTACATTTTTATCATTCATTTCAGGCAGTTGCAGGTATTTAACTAATGTAAGGCAGATATTTAACAAATGTAGGGCTTTAGAGGCTGAGATGCCAGAAGTGCTGGAGAAAAGGCTGAAAGTTACAAAATTTCCCACTTACACAAAAAGGTGTGAAAAAACAACTAAGGAAAAAGCATTAGCCTAGTGTCTTCTTCTAAATATTATAATTTAGGGGTTTAAATCAACAGGTGATGCTGTGGCGTCTACAATCATCACCTGTATACACGTATGGTTTCTAAAAGGGATGACGCAATAGTCATAATGCTGTATTCAAAGGTTCCAGCCCAACAAACCAAACTGTGAGATCATGGCGGCTGTTTATCCCTTAAGTATCAGTCAGGCCGATCATTAGAAGAGACATGGCTGATAATCAGCACCTGGGAGCAGAGAAATGTGTTGCTGGTCTTGAAGGACGATAACAGGCATCCACTGATCGCAGCCTTCTGTTGCCCGCTGGTGGGCGAAGCTGTGGAGGTTGTCCAGTAGCGGGAAGCGGCACATCCGGCTGAGCTCGTAGAACTGCGGAGGAGCGATCCAAAGTCGCCGTGCCTGGTAGCTCTGCAGGATCTCTGAGGGCGTGGACCACTGAAACACACAACAGGTTGAGTTGATTCATTCTGTATTATTATTTTTTTTTTGTCGTTTGAGACAACAGAATAAACCACAATGTCAGATGTGAAAGGGGTGAAATTAAAATACTGATGTTTAGTTGTTTTATTTTTTTTTTAAAAGCCATTTATTTTTAACCTTTTGTTACTGTGAGAAGAAGACTCATAGGTGTTTTACATATCAGTGAGGTGTTTAAAAAAAGCTGTAAAATTCTGTTCAACTACAGAGCTGTGTAATGTTAACTGCTCTATCTCTTTCACACACAGTGTGACATCACCCCTGGTTCTAATAATAATAAGCTCTAGTCATTTCTTCTGTATAATTATCTATCTTAACCCTGGTGGTGATGCTAGAAGATTGTCAAGTTGTGGTGAGACAGCTGCAATATATTGGCATGTTGTGGTATGTAGTGAGCATAGGGAGCTGTCTTTTTAAAATGGTTAGTAGTTCAAACATTAGTAGTTCAGCTTAATTTTCTCTCCTTGTCTTTTATGAAGTGCTTCCATCGATATTCTTTCAAATTTTGGAAATGTCCAGTATTGTCCATCAGATGAACGTTTTATTGAAAATCCTGCTGGTGTGGTCTTGTTACTTGTAAATTTTAGCCAAGCCAAGATAAAAATTAAAATTATACAATTAGGGAGCTTCTATGAAAAAACTTTGGCTGTTATTTATGAAACGATTCAAGACAGCATTGACATGGTCTTAAGCTGAATCTAATGCCGAACCTTGAAGAATCCTTTTTGATATTTAAACATGGCCTCTTTTGTAGACCAGTATTCAACCCAGTACAGTTTCTTCTGGGTTTCTACAGGAATACAGTTTGTTTTCTGGCCACCATCTCAGTGGAGTTGACAAGAAAGACAAACAAGCTGGTCAAGTCTTCAAGCCATCCACCTCAATATTTGGATGATGAAGAGAACAATATGATGAGATCCGTTTAGTACTGGTAATTTCACAACATATTTTCAGTGACGTATGGTGAGACAACTCTGCAATTTTAGGGCATTTTTGAAAAGTTGTGACTGTTCAATTTTTTTTATATATATAACGTACAAGAGGGTCTATTTTTGCGAATTTTAGTTATCTGCAGTTAAACAGAAATCAGAATCAGGGGGGGCTATAAAATAAATATTGGTATTCGCAAATTGGTCATAAAATCGCTGATCGGTGCATATAGGGTAAGTTTTCAAAACCCAACTTGCTTATATTTCAAAAATTACCTGAAAGCGCTCAATTTCCTTCTCATCTTGCAGCGTGCTGGGCACCTCCTGCAAACAGCACATGAAGAAAGCTGTGTCAAACCTCGTCCTCCCATATTTGGCGGTGGGGGTCAGCCAGTTCGCCCACTCATGTAAAGCCCAGATATTGGGCAAAACCTCCAACTCCTGGCACATCCTCATGAAGTTGGAAGGGTTCTTGTTCACCAACGCCCTCCACTTTGAGAGTTCATCACAACCCAGTTTATGTTCTGTGTGATGTTGACTAAAACGTGTGTCCTGAAAGCTTTTTAAAATGCGTTTCTCTTCCTTTTTAGGCACAACCAGCAACACTCCTGATTCCTCAAAAGTCTCTCTGACGGCACAAATTCTCAGGGCGACTTCCCCCGGGATGGGAGAGCCGAGTTTCAATCGGTTTGTCGCAAAGATCGGGGGTCTGTTCTCCACGGGCTGCTTAACGCTCCTTAAACCAAAACCAGGGGAATTAAGAAAAGATTTAAAGACGTCTAACCAATCACTTGAAAAGTCCGAAGAGTCCACCATGCCGCCGGGAAACACATACGCGTTGGGCATAAATGTGCTTTTAGCGCTTCGTTTCAGCAACAGGACGTCGTAATCAAACTCGGAGCTGTGCGGCAGCCGTGTCGCTGCGCCGTTGCCGTCCAGCGGTGTTCTTGGCGACAAACTGTCCGCACCGAGCCTGCGTCCTGCGGTGAGGATTAGGGTGGACGCCTCCTTCCACTGCTTCAGAGCGGTGTTCATCTTCAAACTACGAGAGGATTTAAACGACTTTCAATTTCTGAAAGTTTCAAACCCTGTTCACCATAGATTCTTTACGTTACATGTGACGGAAGTGACGCATTTAAAGGGTTATGTTGCTCGTACTATCGCCACCTACAGGCCGGAGGCCTTATAGACCTGCAGGAGTACCGTATTTCTATAAAACGGAGCGTCCACAAGACTTTCTTTGTAATACCGTTTTTAGAAATTTTCTTTTCAATAGCAAGTACCCCATAGGTAAAAAGTCTGAATACAATAAAGTGTCTTTGGGATGTGGTGAAATGATAAACTTGAATTGGATGGATGTGCAGTGAAGAGATCAGCAACCGTGTAATGCTAGCATGTTAGGAAGGTTCGACACTTCATGAAATAAATGTCACAGTGAATTAAGACAGGTATGAAAGCAAGTGTGGGTCCAGCTTGGTGGTAGTATGGTGTACCAACAGTGAGTGTATTTAAATAGAGATAGAAAGAAACAAAGAGACATGTAAATGGAATAGTTAAAATTAGTTCCTACTAATGACATAATAATTGAAATTCTAAAATAATTTTCATTAATATCACAAACATGACTTATTCAATTAAAAACCGTTTTTCAATAAATTTTAGCATGAGAATTGTGGTGTGAATCCTGTGTGGTCTGATCTAAGTGAAAGTCCACTTTTACTTAGATAAGAAAGTGGCCTTTCACTTTCTAATCTAAGCGATTAGATTACAAATCTGACCATTAGATTAGATTTCAAAAGAATAAATACATTTTGTAGTGGGGAAAAAAAATCTTAAATAATACTGTCAAGACAGCATTTTGTTGCTGAGAACAAATTCAGTCAGATTCTCAGCCTCTCTGAATGTGTCTGAGACTCGGTCATGTTGTTCAGGTTCTTCACGGGGTTACTGAGTTTATATGTCAGTGTGTTCTTGTGCTAGAAGATTACAGTTGCCTGTGAGGCAACTGTTCAAATTCTTTTACAATCCTTATGCAAAAAGAAGGCAAAAAAAAAAAAAAACAAGTTTGCCAATGGAAAGATTAAAAACATTTATTGTATTAAGAGATAGACTTCAGGAAGACTAAACCTTTTCCAACTGTGTTTGCGTGAACTGTACTATTATTGCATTTTATATATCTCTCATGTATAAGCAATGAACTGTTTGGGTGAAGAAAAAGCCAGTCAAAGAGACGTAATGAGCTGCCTTGAGAAAAAACAAAACAGCTCAGTAAAGAAAAAATTATGGTGTTGCAGGGTCAAATTCTCTGACTTCCATGCAGCTCAGAGTAGTAAAAGAAAAAAAAAAAAGAAAACAGTGCAAAACCTGGCCAGCGTGGAAAGGCAATGCTGCAGACACACACACACAAATGTGCAAGCACACAACTTCAGTGGTATCATATATCTTTATCAAAGAGGCATTGTGAAGAGGTCTGGTTATTTAAGCTGAAATGGAAGGAAGTGTTTTAAGGTTTTCAGAGAAAAAAGAAAAATGTTCTAACTTGAAATTGTCGCTCCATGTAGCAGAACATGAGCTCTGTCAGCAACAACTACCTCGACATATAGTTAAAATACAATGCATGCATGGAGTTGTACTTGCAGAATTAATATCCATTTAGTCAGAAAATTGCAGTTTTTTTCTTCTCTTTTTCCCACAACATTCTGTTGTAAGGTATATGCATGCACCATTGCTCGGAACAGCCGACTTTACTCAGATTTCTCTTTTGTTTGTCTTTGGATGCTTTAATTTCAGCTCTTACCAGTGCATTTCTATAACTCATGTATTTCTGCTGTGGCTGTGAAGCATTCCCTCTTTCAGCTCACGACTTCCCAGGATGGCCAATCAGATTTAGAAACCTCCCCCAGGGGAGTGTGTGTTCAGACTCATGGAGCCTCAGGTTTTCTCCCAGGTCAGACTTTCCTGCTGTTCTTCTCCTAACTTGGCTGAGCATCAGCTCTTCCGTCTCATCACTGGCCCCAGGTTTTTGAAGAAGCTGTGGTGGATGTTTATGGACTCTAAGTAACGAGGTTTCAAATCACAAGTAAGTGAAATAGTTTACATAATTTTTCAGATAGGACATCAAGAATGGCATTCCTGATATTTTCTTTGTTTTTCCTCTTTACCTGTAGGACACTTGTATGATTATATATTAACACACTGTAAGTTACACATTATCTTGGACGGTGGGAGAAGTCAACATCTATATGTTCCCTATGTCTTACCCAAAGTTTGTGACTCAATCTGGTTTTAAAAACTTGAATAATCACACTTTTTAAGTAGCCAAATTTAGATAAAAAATAATTTTTTGAAACTTAAATTCCAAGCTTTAGTCATTTCTAGTGTGCAAAAAGCAACATGTGGAAATATTCACTTTATATCTAGAAGTTAATCTTTTCTGTAATTATAAAATCTAGATAACTTATTTAAATTAAGTTTTACTTGTTGCATATATTAATACATCAAAGCTCACACTCGACTTGGAGTCAGTTTTTGAAAACAGGTTTAAAAAACATCCCAAGTGTCTGGTATGTAGTTTGTAATAGTCAAATTCCAGAATCTCAAAAAAGATTAACAATAATCAGCTTTAAAAAAAAACAAAAAAAAACACTCCTAGTTTTGGTTAAACAAATTTTACTTAATATCTACAAAACAAACTACGTCATGTTCTGTTCCTATAAAAAACTGACAGGTAAACATATTAATAAACAACTCTAACTCTGTGTTCAGAGTTAGCGCTACATAATGCTCATTATTTCTAAACTGAAATGTCATATTGATGATTTAATAATATATATTCTAAATATGCTACTTTGTTTTTCAAGATGAGACTTTTTGTTCCTTTTTTACCCTGTATATAACCTAATTGCATTACACAACAGCAAAATCATGTGGTTTAACACATTTCCAACTCACCTAGAAAAGAAAGAAAAACACATCTTTGTGTATATCTGAGTCTAACTCTTCATGATACGTTTTTTTAACACAGTCAATCATAAATTTTGTGACCTCATTCCAATCTGACTACGTGTGTACAACTTTACCACCAATAACAAAAAGCAAATTGCTGGACAAAACAAAACACAACAAAAACAACTCAGAAATTTAAACTGTAGCAGCTTTAGAAGACATGGAATGTCTTTGCTCAAGAAGCTAAAATGTTGCATTCTAGCTTCTTCTTTTTTTAGGAAAAAAAAAGAAGACAAAACTATAAAAAAAACTAACATCTTAAATTAAAAAGCTTTCTTTTTGAGTTGATGGGTGGCCCTGTGTTGTTTTCACTGTATTGTTTCCTCTCTCTTAATTTTGCAAATACATTTTAATTTTATCAACGGATCTAACAATTCTAGATTGTTTTTAGATTAGAAGTGGATTTGCTGTGCTATTTGTCTGCTTGTACGATGCTGTATTTTGAACACACCAGTTCATAAAGTGATCCATAATAAAACGTTTAAAAAGGTTCCTGGAGGTGAGCACTTCACACTCTCAGTCTTTGTGGAAAAAAATATGTGAGTAAATTAAACGTAAAAAAGCTTCAGTTGCTTCTCAAAGTTTTAAGATTGAATCATAAGACAAGTTTTTTCTGAAGATTGAAACTTCTCCACCTCTTTGATCCACAATAACTAGCCATAATGTTGATAAAGCTCAGATTGCTATCTCTCTCTGGTTCTACAGATACAATGCTCCAGGAAAAAAAAAAAAAAAACTGGAAATAAAGTCAACATTGCTAGATAACTAACATGTTTCTTTTTGGTGAACTTTTCATTAAAAATTAACATGATTTAGAAAAAAAAGAAGTTATTTTCTTCCTTTTTTTGCATGTGTTTATTGAGTGGTGATGTTCTCGTTAGTTAATAAAAACAGTTTACTAATTGTAAGGCAACATCATTTCCTGTAAACCTTATCTTGTTTTGTGACGCAAGTGACAACAAACATGTTTACTAGTTGAGTTGCTGTCAGTATGACTGCTGATAAAATTGAAAGAGATATTAATCTAAGAACATACAAAGCTATTTATTTCACAGTCTTTCATTAAATCAGACAAAATCTTTCCGGTTTTAAGTCAGACAAAATCCCTAAACTATGTGCTAACTTCCAGAATAATATAAAAACTAGCTAAAAACGCCAAATTTGTCATTATGCTGACATTTACTGTTGCATAACTGGCACAAAATCTGAATGATTCAGTCTGACCTAATGTCAGTCTTTGCAGTCTTTAAGCTGTTTGTGTGTTTGTTTGTTTTTTCTTCACAGAAATGGAAACAGACAGCATCAGTAAAGCTTCACAAAATGGCCCCACAGACAGAGATGGGCCCTTGGAGAAAAAGCGACCCGAGAAAGCAACAGTGCTTCAACAAGATGTGAGTATTGCTTCAAGCAGTGTTCTGAGAAAAAGGCTGAATAAACGTTCACACCATAGAATCCCATCATATGTACCTTTTTGCAGTAAGTGGGGGCGGGGAGGATAGCAAGAGCTGCGTACCAGGCAGTGCTACAGCAAGTGTCTCTGCAAATTAACCCCGCAACCATCAGCTCCAGGCTCTCTAAACTCTCACAGTCCTGAGATATATTTTGGGGGAAATTATTGTTTGAATGCAGTGCGTGTTGTTGTAAAAGAATATATGCAGAGGAGCTGATGTTGTATATGTGAACAAAGTCAAACTGAGAGGAATGTTCTACAAACACAACTTCCTGGTATATTACAAACCAGACATTCTTCAACAGAGAGTAACATACCGAAAGAGTTAAAGTATACAAAGATAAAGGCAACTGAGCTTGTGTGTAACTATTTCCCCCTTTTGGGTCCAACTCGATGAGTCAGCTCTTGTGGCTGACATTCAGAAGTCTATCTACATTTGAACAAAGCACAATGTATACTTTTTAAAACCCTCTTCATGACAGTAAAAAGTGAAAAAAAAGAAACATTTTGAAAAGGGAAAAGACAAAATCACTACTATTTGCATTCAAATCTCTGGGATTGTCAAATAGCCCACATATTATCTTTATAAACCTTAACAGTATTTCCATTCATAGTCGCTGCAGTTGCATGCAATACGGATATGATATGATAAGTGGAATAATAGCAGGTTTTTACAGATAAGGAACAGGCAAGAAATCATGCTTGGTTTAATAGTCCCTGTGTTCTGCAGGTCAAACTGACCCAGTGTCATAAAGAGAGAAGTAGATTGCTGTTTAGTATGTTACTGAAATGTAGGACTTTAGTAAAACAAAAACAAAAAACAAAAAAATGTGTGAGGTAAATCTGATTGTTATTACTGACTTTAGACCGACACCTAATGGTTTTATCTCTCTGCTTATGCAAATGTTAAGGAGACACTGTTGCTTTGGGGGTAGTTGGTTGTTGGGTGTATAGAGTTCAGTGTCTAGTCATGCAGACTGATTTTAGAGACGTTTCAGAAACAATAGGTCACTCTCAGCAGATCGGCCTAATGCCCTGATAGGAGGTCACCTCTAAAGTCAAATCTAAGTCCAGTTGTGAAGTGACCCTGAAACTAAATATCCCACAGTCAGCCGGTGGGCCAGTTCACTTCTCAGATGTGGGGCATAATGCATAGAGGTTGTTTAACTTTCTGCAGAACCCATCCATAACTTCAAACTTCATGTGGCCTTGAGATCAACTCAAGTAGAGAGTTTCTGAAGTGGGTTTCCATGGCTGGACAGCTGTTTTCAACCCTTATATTACCAAGTGCAATTCAAAGAGTTGGACGCAGTGGAGAAAAGTACATGTGTCGCTTGAAGACCCAATATTAGTCTGATGCCAAGAAAAGGTTACTTGAGTCACACCTGAGTCAAGTGTAAAATTTGGTGTGGAGGTAATTATGTTTCGAGGCTGCAAGGAGCTATAGGAAATAATTTCTAATCATTAACATTTTGGACAATATCTTACTTCCAATTTTCTGGGAATGAACAGTTACTGTTCCAGCGTGACTGCACACCAGTTGCACACCAACGGCATCAGGGGTAGCACCAGCAGCGCCAAGCTGTGTATTTCATGGAAGGGAATTGATTGACAGCAGACTGCATTCGTTGATTGGTCTGTGTGAGTTTCACTGGAAACTCCAAACAACATTTCTCAGATAGCTTAGCGGCGGACAGGCAAACGTGCCGTCTGCTGTCAGAGAGCTGCTCGGTGTGGAAGAGCAGAATCATGGCTTTAATCCTTAGCAGACAGGAAGACATGCGTTAACTGTTGGAGCAGGATGACCGTGGTCTCACAGCCTCACAAGCTCCAGGTCTCTCTGAAGAACATAGTGGCTCTGGGCAGCGTTCTGTCTGAGCTGCAGTTTTCACCAACGGTTTAAAACAGCAGAACTGCATAAAAGGTCATGTTTGGTGTGATGCCATTTTATTATTTGCTTGGAATTTCTTTAGGTAAGGTTCATGTGTGGACATTGGTTTTACATCTTCTGACTCAATTACCTAAATCCAAAAGGTTACATGTTTAAAAAAAAAAACTAAAGTGGCAGAATATAAATATATATGTATAATGAAATAATACATACTTGTGTCTTTAATAAAGATGATGATGATGATGATGATGATGATGATGATGATGATGATGATGATGATGATGATGATGATGATGATGAGCTGATCAGCAGTTTTATCATTATGTGTGGGCCAGCAATAAATTTTATAGGACAGAATTAATCACAACCACAACCTCAAGGTTCTCCGTTCCTGAGTGTCACTGCAAACATCAGCACAGATTCGACCACGACTGCTGCTTACCAGCTGCCCACATTCCCATATTCATGCCCGCATAGTGAGGAGCAGCTTACTGGGGCTGAACCAAACCAGACATGAACTGATTAGAGTGAGTCTTGCCAGTTGAGAAACGTTTTTACAGCAGAGACTGTGAGCCAGGTCTTTTTGTCCATCATCAGTGTCTGACCTCATAAGTAGTCTTCAAAGGCGGGGTCTCTTTGTCTTTGTGTTCAGGCAATGCAGTGACACTCTGGAGAACATGATCAGTTGCTTTGACCTTGATGACACTTTGTCATAATGTGATCAATCAGATTATTGGTGTAGATCAGTCAGGAGACATTTCACATTTTTACTGTACTGAGATACAACAACAATATAATGATCTGTTTCATGACTTTTAAAGGAAGTCATGAAATAGAACATGCAAACACTGCAGTTTCCGAAGAATCAGGCTGAAAAAGCCACTAAGTGACTGACTTTTCTTTCCCTGTGTGTTTGAACAGATTGGTTTGCTGAGTGGCATTTCCCTGATTGTGGGAACAATGATTGGCTCAGGGATCTTCATTTCTCCTAAATCAGTGTTGCTGTACTCAGGAGATGTGGGTCCCTGTCTCCTCATCTGGACTGCCTGTGGAGTATTAGCCACTATGGGTGAGAGCAGCATTCAGAATGATGCATCGATTAGTTCACCATCTGAATGGTGTCATTGTAAACCGTCCCATACAAAGAGCAGTTTTTATGTTGTCTTGAGGTTTGATTCAATTCAGTTTTTATTAAAGCAGTGCAAAGCCTTTATTACTCTGTGTGGGAAACAAGATTATAAACATGCCTGTTTTCTAACAGAACTAGGTTCTGTTTTCTAACAGAACTAGGTTCTGTTTCCTAACAGAACTAGGTTGTTTATGAAATGTTCCACAGTACATTGTTTTCTTTGATTTTAATGTTATCTGTTACTGATGTGCATCTTGTACATATAATTTGATCAGCTATGAGTTTTTTGGGTTCATTTGTGTGAATTCAGGAATAGTAATTGGTGAACATGAACTAAAATTTGTTTCAACAAAGTAGAAGTTTGTGCACACAAATGAAACCAGGTTATTGTGTCTTTTTTTTTTGTATGTTTTTCCTTACTGTTTTTGTGGTTACATGCACCATAAGCATGCCACAACAATGATTAGAAATAATTTATCACAATCTCAATTTCTAAGTCTCGAAAACTGTTCAAGAAGGTCATGCAAGCTTTGTAGAGTCACTGCATGAAACATTGTTTGATTCCTCAGTGTGTCTCAGACGGGACACAACTACTCAGAGATGAAAGGATTCAGTAAGAAAATGCATTTTAGGACGAGGACGTGGTGCTACAGTCACTGTGCTCCTCACCAAAAATGTGATAACGAATGATAACAATTTATTACTCTGTAGCAGAGTTATGGAGCCAGAAATGCTCAGGCAGGCACTGACCTTGACCAACCCTATTAAAGCAGAGGCTTTGTGGACTCTTCTTGGCCCCTTGGTTTGGAAAGCAACAACCTTTTTGATAAAAAACAAATCATAAAATCATAAACAACTGCTAAAGAACCTAAAGCAAGGGTGTCAAACTCCAGTCCTCAAGGGCCGCTGTCCTGCAGTGTTTAGATGTGCCACAGGTAAAAAACAGTGGAATGAAATGGCTTAATTACCTCCTCCCTGTGTAGATCGGTTCTCCTGAGCCTACTAATGACCTAATTATTCTTTTCAGGTGTGGTGCAGCAGAGGCACATCTAAAAGTTGCAGGACAGCGGCCCTTGAGGACTGGAGTTTGACACCCCTGACCTAAAGAGACTTTACTAATATTATGGGATACAAAAGTTGCATTTTACGTCTTTTCTAGCCTCCACATTTCCCCATTTTTGAAAAAAAAAAAGTCTTAATCTTTATAGTTACTTTAATAGTAAACATGGTCTGTGTTGTGAAAAGGATAACTTTCTGATTGGAGATGAAGATGTGGCCAAGAAAACTGAGTAATTTTCTGTTACATATTAAATATTTGTAGATGAAGGCATTTGGAACCCAGTTTTGTGTCTTTACAGTTATTCAGGACATGTAAAGTCTGTCATCTTAACATGCAAAAAAACCGTAAGGCCTTTTTCCTGCACACAATCCAGTTTGTGCCATTAAATATTTAGCTTTTAAAATCTAACCATCTTACTTTATGATTTCGATGATTTCATTTTAAAAACCTCATGGCAATTCCAAAGGGACGCTTGGTTCAACATTTAATAAAGTTTTGCAGTATAAGTGTAATGTATTGCAGTTATACTGCAATACCTTACAGCAGCATATAAGCCTCATAAAATTACACAATTATTCATCAGTTAAACCACTGAGAGTCATTTGGTTTTTATTTTTTAACAACACTATTTTTTTACCTGTGATTGTTTTATGACAATTGTAAAATCTAATCCTTCATGGAAAATTACGGGTTCTTGAATATAAACTTCCAGAATAAAGCCCAGGACTTTGTCCTTCAATGTCAGGGTGGTAAATGTTAATGTGTATGTGTGCAACATAAAAAAAAAAAATAAAAAAAAAATTGGGAAAGCAGCTGGATAATCATCACCAACAAACAGAAATGTGGCTTCTTTGCTAAAAGAGACTGAAGTTATTGATCAATTTTAACTTTGATGATGATTGCTCTAAACGGAAAACATTAACGTAGTCTTTTTGATGTTACTGTTTTTTACAATACTTTTCTTTGTTTCTGTCTTTTTGTGTTGGCCGCTCAGGAGCCCTTTGCTATGCTGAACTTGGTACTATGATCACCAAATCAGGGGCAGAGTACTCCTATTTAATGGAGGCTTTTGGATCCCTTGTTGCCTACCTTTACTCTTGGACCACTGTTATGGTGCTGAAACCTTCTTCATTTGCCATCATCACTCTTAGCTTTGCAGAATATGCCTCTGCTCCTTTTTACCCCGACTGCACCCCTCCACTCGTGGTTATCAAGTGCCTGTCAGCAGCTGCAATAAGTAAGTAGCACAAACAATAAAAGATGGGACAATAAATTTGGTTCTTGTTGATATCACAGATAATTTCATCCATTTTTAATTAACCTGTTCAGACGTCCATGTAAAAGCGCAACAAAAATATGCTTAAAATAGATAAAACACCAACTTGTCTTCTAATGATGCTGCTTATGAAGATAAATGTTATTTTTTGTCATAGATTTTTTTTTCTTGTTTCTTTGTTTCTTTGCAGTCATAATCACTGGTGTCAACTGTTTGAGCGTCAAACTAGCAAGCTATGTGCAGAACTTTTTCACTGGGGCCAAACTTATTATCATCATCGTCATTGTGGTGGCTGGCATCGTTCTGATGGCTCAAGGTCGGCCCTTTTACTCTGATTATTCTTCTCATTTCAGGTCACAACTTAAGTACTTCTCATTTGATGAAGTAACTTTGAAATCTCAGTTTTATGTTTTTATATTTTTGGGTGCAGGAAAAACAGAGAACTTGTCAAATGCATTTGAAGGCTCATCCACGTCTTTTGGAGCAATTGGACTCGCTTTTTATAACGGACTTTGGGCTTATGATGGATGGTAATAATTTACATTTTTCTACTTTGGTTTCTTCATTAACCCTCCTGGTATGTTTTAAAGTTTATAAATGTTTTTAAAAATAGTTGGAAGTATTTTTGTTTTGCATGAAACTTTTTTCAATTTGTTTTAATACATTGTCTACTTTTTATATAGATAATGTTTGGGTCAATTTGACCCGGCTGTCAAGTTGAAGAGTAAAAAAGATTTTAAAAAAAATGTCACCCAAATAAAAAATACACCCAAACCTCTTTGCAAGCAAATATCTAATAAAGAAGTGATAGATTTGTAAAACTGAGGAAGGCTTAGTCATTAGTTATGCCATTAACTCAGAACCTATTAACCTTTTCAGAAGTTCAGGTTGTTCAGAAATCCATACATTTTGTATGTAGTTCCCAAAAGTCTGAACCGGAAGTGATCCGCCATCTTGGTAGGCAAGCGCAATGCAGAGCATAGATGAGCCGTGGCTTCAAGACCAACAAAAAGAAAGCATATTAACAGTCTTTAAAAGATTTGCAAGAGAACGATACATCAACAAAATCACTGCTGTTGGAATTGACCCATATGAGACAGAGAACGTTGCGTGTTTACTGTTGTCATAGCAACTCCATAGCAACTGTCATTAGAGTTAGCTATGGATACCTTCCAAGATGGCTGTCAGGTACAAAGTTCCCGGAAGTGTGACGTTACATGAAAACTATGCATTGAAGATGCTGTTGATAATCTCTTAACAATAAATAGATGCATTTTAATCAGTTTGTCAGTGAATCAAATATATTATTTTTTTATTCTGTAATTAAAACTTATTTTTTCCAAATATTTTGCCAGGAATCAACTGAACTTCATCACAGAGGAGCTAAAAAACCCATACAGGTAACATATTTACCTTTAAGATCTTCTGCTCAAGAAATTGCTACTAAAATGCTTGCATGATATTTATTTCGGAAACTGGTAAGCATACTTTTGGGTATGAATCAAGATCTTGGGAAATTTGAATATTAATCAGTGTAAAGTCCCTTCTAATATTTTTTTTCCTCTCAATTTACTACAGAAATTTGCCTCTGGCCATCGTCATTGGAATCCCTTTGGTGACTGTGTGCTACGTGTTTGTCAACATCGCTTACTTTACTGTTATGACGCCCTCTGAACTGCTGTCGTCTTCAGCTGTTGCAGTGGTAAGGACAATTATCCACAAATCAAAGAGCTGCACAACTTAAAAAAAAAAAAAAAAAAAAAAAACGTGTACAACTTATCAGCACGGCATATATATTAAAAGGCTTTAATGAGAACTTTCTAACATGAGCTAATGACCATTTCAAACACAGAATGTTTGATACTCCCCACTTTTAGATCTTCAAATTAACTCCTGAGGGACTTTTTTTTTTTTGTCTCCATAGACTTTTGGGGACAAAGTCCTTTACCCTGTGGCTTGGATAGTTCCTCTGTTTGTGGCCTTTTCAACATTTGGTTCTGCAAATGGAAGCTGCTTCACTGCTGGCAGGTAAAACAAACACATTTATTTAATTTTATTTCTGATTGTACATATCTTATGCTTAGTAAATCATTTTTATACTTGGAGTGAAAAGTAGAACAATGTCAACTGTATTATTTATTAGCAGCTCACATTAGATTTTTTTCTTCCTCCCCCAGACTGTCCTATGTAGCCGGTCGAGAGGGTCACATGGTGAAAATCTTATCCTATATTAGTTTGAAACGCTTCACTCCTTTACCTGCTCTCTTATTTAATGTAAGTCTAATATATTTATTGTTTGAGTTCTCGTGTTGAACATGGTCCCACAGGATCGCCTTACTTATTTTTTAATGTTGTTTAAATCAACAAGTAATTTTACTATTTTCTTGCTTTATATTCTAGGGCATTTTGGCTATATTCTACATTATTCCTGCGGACATCAATACTCTGATAAACTACTTTAGTTTTGCTCAGTGGGCCTTCTATGGTCTGACAACTCTGGCTCTAATCGTCATGCGTTTCACCCGGAAAGATCTCGACAGGCCTGTGAAGGTGAGGCTTTCTGAAAAGCTTCCAACAGATTTAATTGTGTTTTGCTTTAAAAGTGATAAAAAGCGTTTTCCAATTTTGTCACACATTTCAATGCATTCT